AAAAAAGAGTTTCTATAGAGGAGTCATCATGACATTTTGAGATAAATGTTACTGAAATTTTCTGCTTTTTTTTTGGTTAGGGTTTTAAGAAAGATAGCATGCACATTCTGGAATGGGGTAARAATTCTGCTGCAAACTTACTGGATGCCTTCCCTGTTTRTGGATTTGTTGTTTCAGGCACATAAGAAACATGTTAAYTTGCTGTTGGTTAAGTGAGTTTCCTTGTGAGAGAAAAGCTGCAGGGACCACAGAGTTGCTTGCAGCCCCTACTGATATTAGATCTTGTCTAATATCATGCCTTGCTGTCCACAATTAGTTATACTGGCAGATTCCTCAGTTCTTCACCACATTCCATTTCAAATCCAGCTTTTAACCACTCACAGTGCACATACTTGGATCTGTCAGAAATTCTTTGTATTTCAGCCTTTGGTAAATTTGCTATCTAGTTATTGGCCACGTGTGAATAACTCTGAGATGTCAGAATGGTAATATGATATTCTCAAGAACATATGATGTTCTTTGAAAACTGAAAGGTCATTGACTGAGGGAGAGTCAAAACTGCTGAGTTTGAACTCTGCCAGCATGGTGGTACTCTGATCTTTGATGGAATCTTTTTTTAGTGCTTCCAGGATTCAGATKCTCTAAATACAGATAATTCTGTTGACTTATTCTCAGATAGTGAAAATTATGCAAGTGGCAGGAAAAGAACCCATCAAAATTTAAGGAGCTTAGACATTTCTGTTGGAAACTGAATTAAAATTCTACTYGCCTTCTGAACAGTGAAGTGGGAAGCGACTGAACACTGTTCAAACTGATGGTACTGTTTTTAAAGAAGCTCAATTCAGGCTTAACTATGGATTTGGTGCTAACAGCTTCACAATACTTCGTTTATTTTATGAGAACTTTGAAGTGCATGATTACTCTTTGATTAATTCACAGTTCTTAGGTTGACTGTAATGAAAAATCTGATAGGAGATTGGAGTAGGTTTAGATTTGTTGACTTGGTCAGGACAGTAGACGTATGAATTTGGAAATTCATGTGGGGAAAATAATATCCTAGATACTGTTTTGGTTCCTCTAATCTGTCTTGTGCTTTATTTTTCTTAAAAAAAAAAAGCAAAATTTTAAGCATATAGTTTCTTACCATCCATAATTTTTAGGCTTTAGTCTGAAATTGGAAACACTTTCATCTCCATTAATTATTTTTAAATGTTTCATGAGTCTTTCAAAGAATGTCTTTAAACTAGAAAGGGATGCCTGATTTTTTTTAATTTTGTACTTRCCAAGTTAATAAAACAATATAGAAAATATTCTGGAACATAAATTTTAATTAATTATTTTATTTTTTCTATTATGTTCCTTTTATTTTTCTTTCACACCTAAATGTCATCACTGCTTTTTCTTTTTTAGTTGTATAATTCCTTTCATTGGGTCTTATGTTGTTTTTATTTCTTTTTTTAAATTTGTGGAGGTTTTGTTTCCTTACCTGTTTTCTTTAAGACTTTCCAATGGAGAGATGGAATAAAACCCAGCAAAATGTATTTGTAGTTGAGGTCCAACACTTAATTCATCTGAAAGGAAGAACTTTTCTTTAATTGAGATGTATGCATTCCTAAGTGAAATTGTAGCAACAGAGTTAATCATTGGTAACAGGTAGTTTTCAAACACTAGTCATCTAACTGAAGATGGAAGAAATACATAGATCATWYTTTTTTCTCTTGCTTTAGTAATTATTCTAATAAATCACCAATTTGTAAGGGATTTATTTCCTCACTACCAGTATTACTTTACTTTTTATAACTTTGGACCAAAGGTCAGACTGTATATATGGTAAGAGAATTGAATTTAATACTAAARTTTACTTTATGCTGATGGAACCCTACTTAATGTTTTGAAATGATATTGCTTTCCAGCTAATCAAAATATATTCAAAATATTTTGTATTTACTGTGTCTTATCTTCCACCTGGCAAGAACTTTCCATTATGTAGTTATTTAAATCACTCTATCATTAGAATTAAATGTTGTYTTTTGTTTTTGAATCTGTCAAATTTACTAAAGTACTGTATTTTTCTTCAAAGAAAGAAAAGCTTCCCAAGTATGCAAGTTTTATTTCTTTAACAACAAACCACATTATTTCTATGTCTTTTGAATCTTTACCTTGTCCCTTGCTCAATTCAGTCTGTAAAGCATAAACTGGGAGCAGGACATGAACCCAGGAACTGTGACTTGAAAATCAGGAATTGTGGTCACTTGATCCATGTTTGCTGTTGAATGTTTGTGAAATGGCACTTTGACTGCTTTGTTAACAGTACAAATGTAGCAAAAGCCAGTGGAGTCTCAGTTTAGTTTCCCAGCATGAAATGTTGAGAATCACTCATTCTGACTTTGGTTTGTTCAAACTTTASCATACAAACCTACTTACAGTGCTTCATTCAACAGTGATGGTATTTTTAAGCAGAAACAAAAAAAAAATAGCCTATGTATAGTTGTTTTTTTGTCTCATTTTATGTTGATAGCTGTGTCCTCACTAACGTTGCAGACAAAATCCAGCTTTGTTTMTTGTGATTATTTTTCAGTCCTGGTAGGTTTGTCCTGTTTGCACAGGGGATCACCATCTTTTCAGATGAGCCAGCTAGTTTGTTGAAGTGCTTGAGAATGAACACTCCTGATGCTGAAAAACAAAGTTAACTGTCTATACCTGTAATGTTTAAATTGGGTGATTTTTGAGATTTAACTGGTTCAGTTGGTTTGTTTTTTTTCTAATGTCCCTTATCACTTTCAGCTATAGAGAAAAYAGTGCATCCCATGAACTTGTTTAAAACCAAAGTAATTGGTCAGATATGATCACAGAAAGGCTACTTTTTATATAAGACAACCTCTGTTTTTTATTTAGTTGTGACTTGGAAGTGTAGTTGCTGAGTTGGGTTTAWTTTCTTTTAATTCTATTTATTCAGTAAATAACAGTAAATAAATTCAGTAAATAAGTACACTTGCCCTGTTCTCAGAGCATGTGTTTTCCAGCTTTGCCTGCTGTAGAAGATAGGGAAATACCTTCTTAGTTCTTGATTTCATAAGTTTGTTTTTTTTTAGTTTTAATAGCTGTTTTGTTGGACAGATTGTCCATTTTGTTGTTTTTCATGTAGAATCTGATAGTGACAGGGAGGTGAAYATAGACCTGAGCCTTGCTATAGAAACCTGACACTCTTTAGTTTTAAAGGGTGCTGTGAATATTATAGTTAAATGACTCAAGGGACAAGGGAYAGTGTTTTATTAGATTTGRGGCCATTTCCTGTCATAAAATAGCYATTGGGGTAATATAGSAAATACAGTTTTTCCTAGCTATGTTCTGTTTTGGGAGTTGACAGCTGTTTATTCATYACAGCCATCTTTCAGCAAGTTCTAAATAACAAATAAGAAAATATGAAATTGCAAAATAGTGACAAACTAAGTAGGGTTTTTTTGGTCTTTGAAATGGGTATGGTCAAATTAAGAAATACTTTGCATGTTAATTATGCTGARTGTCAAATACTAAGAAAACCAGAATTGTTTCAATGCAGCATCATTCCATTCCTCTTTGTCCAGATGTATTTTCAGATAGTCTTCAAACAGTTTTTTAGCACATTGTTTTTTCTTATTCCTCACGTGACTTTTTTTTCCCCAAGGTATTTATTAATGCTGTACATCCTGAGCTTAAACAGGAAGAATTAAACATYTTGTGTTTTGAGACTTTCCACTTAAATAAGAAGCAAGGCAATATTCCCCAGATTATTAAGTTCATGCTTTCTAAAAACTTTTGTTTCTAAGATTGCTGGTGCACAGCTGTATGACTGGAGTCTCCAAGGATATATTGCTTTGGAATCTCTTTGGAAGGATAATCCTAAGAAGAAGAAATCAGGGGAAAAGARTGATAAGGTAAGAAGTCTGAGGAACTTGATTTCTGAATTTACCACTGCCTTTTCAGACAAAAAAATTTGCAAACAACAGTGGATTTTTTTCCACCATGACTTTGTTTTTTTTGGTTTTTTTTTTCTGAAGAGAAGTATTTCATTCTGTCTTTCTAAGCTGTGGAAAAACATTAGGTTTACTTCAAGTTAAACTTTTGCAACTGCTGTTTGGAAGTTTCTTTTAGTATAATCTGATACAGATAAGCAAACAGACTTCTAGGAAATGTATGCAGATGRCTTAGTGAGGCATAGTGTGGGAGACTGGAGAGCTGAGCAAGTTGAATRTGTGCCAGGGGAAGCCTGTAAGGTGTTTAGGTWTTTTTTTWAAMTGCTGCTTAAAGAAATAGAAAATCRAGTATGTAATGTAAAGCTTCTGTGGTTTTAAATTCACTTCTAAGGTCACTGTGTCTGGGAGGGAGATGTTTTGGAGATACCAATTGCACTTGAATCAACTGTGGGGATGGGATTGAGTTCCCAGGATAGGGCTGGGTGTGGGACTAGTTCCAAACAAGCTGGGTTGGAGAAATGATCACATGTCCTGGCAATTGCTGAGTCTTCTGACAGTGGAGACTTTCATCAGTGGAACTCAYCCTGCATTGGCCCAAGGCACTTCAATAAATGCACTTGCATAAACAAAGGTTAGTTAATCATTCTGTACCTTTCCTAAAACATAGGCTGTCAAAAAGAAACTCAAAAAAAGAGGCAATGTTAAAATATTTCAGAAAGACAAACTGACAGCATTAGCAAAAAAATAGCTGAACTTTTTATTTCGTTGTGTCTCAGGTTTTCTAAAGGAAACACGTGGTTGTTATTGGAAGGCAAAAACTTCTGACACTTTCATCTTGTTATTAGGCTTATTCAAGCACTTGCTACCTCAGCAGAGAAGCAAACAGCATGCAGAAGTGCAGAGACCACTAAATAAACACACTTCTTTCTCTTCCTCCTTGCAGAATATTTAAATCACACCCCTTAGTTGCCAAAACATGTTACTTGCACAAAGGAGCAAAATGCCAACTGGTTGGTGTCCTCCTAAAGCTCATCTCATTGTTCAGATAACTGTTGGTGTGAGCTGTAAAMTGTCTAAATTAGACAACACAGAGAAACCCTGTGACTCAAATGAAGAAACAGTATCCCCTTAGATGAAACTGCCTTCATTTCCCATGTTCACAGATCTTTTACCACTGAGGCAAACAGTCCCACTGGTGCTTTGTCCTTTGAAGTTGTTAAAGAGAGGATAATGTCTCCCTGGTGTGCAGAGAAGCTGAACAGCAGTTGTAAAAAGTCACATGCTTTTGTCTGGGATGTGGACTGAGAAGTGTTTTTAGTGGAAGGAGTTCCTTGTGATGCTTCCTTTTGGGTTGGTAAAACCATACAAAACCCACAGGTGTGAATTTGGGTGGGTAGGAGTGGGATTGTTTTGTAATAATATGGATTATTAGCACCACCAAATCAGTATCAACTTTGCAAGCAAAAACAATTTCTGCTAAAGTTCCACTTTTTATTGGAGGTTTTTACTGATACAGAAGTGTCGTGGGAGAAAATGCTTTTAACWATCATATACTAAAATTGGTAAAGCATTCTAGGATAGATTCTGTGACTTCTGCCTTAATTTGACAACCTGTGAAAGAATTTGGTGGCTTTTGTATGCATATTTCTTATTGTACTGKACAGCTAGTTTCCTTAACTAGTGAAGACAGGTCTGAATGTTACTCTGGAGTTGTTGTTGCAGCAGATGTAACCCATTTCATGAAACTATGCCAGAGCAAAAGACATKATTTTTGTTTTTGTGACATTTGCTCCAGCATTTTCCTGTTGCTACACAAAGGATTCTTGCAAAAAGTCCAGCAATATATGGGTGGCTCTTCTTGGCTTCTGATAATTTGTTATATTGCTCATAATTTGTTTGATAGTCATAGGTACCACAGCTGTGCATAACTTCATGTTTGTGCAGCAATATGTCATTAAAATGAATGTGGTATGTTAATTTTCTGAGGGTTTTATRAAACAAAAACCCGTGCCAAACTGAGGTCATGTCAACTGAATTCTGAATTCTGCCAAGAAAGATGAATTCTGGGACCTTCTGTGCCTACATTTGAAAACACTGTGCCTGCAGCCCCTCCATATAGGAAATCAGTCAGATCAAGGTTTTTGATGTGTTGTTGAAGGATGCAGCTCTTCCAGAAGTCAGGATAAAATCCATCTGCTGAAACTGAAGCATGTCAAAAAACAATTTTCTTCACTTAGTTCTCACTTTGTATTGTGTGTTTACCATTTAAATACTTATGCTRTATTTTTAACCATTTTGAATTCTCTCTCTTCCCTCAGCCTTGCATTGGCCATTCCTTGTTTCTGCTGAAGCAGCCAAATTGTGTAAAACCAGAACAACATYACAGCTCTAAATACAGCCTTCTTTTCAGCCCTTGTTCCTTGTTTCTTGTGTTTGCTCTTTCCCATTTTGGCCCAAAAATAGTAAGATCTTGCAGAAAACTAATTTCCCTCTCAACTTCAGAAACTGAGAGAAACTTTTATGGGATATTACTTAATTTCCAGTGCTTTCTGGCATGCTGATGGACACTACCAGGGACTTAGCAATACTAATATGTAATACATACCATTTTTAAACCCATATGAATTTACTACACATATAAAATGCATAAATATTTAAAAACTGTCTCTGTGGCTATTCTCTGGGTATTTTACTAAGTGCTAGTTGGTTACAAAGTGTTTCCAGGGGCAAATAGGTCTCATCTTTGGCTAATTTCCTTTACTTGCTCAGAGCAAGTGTTGAGGAAATTGTGGACCAGAACCTTCCTCACCTGAAAGCTCTGGGGGAAATTGTAGTGTCAGTGTTTTGACTGGGGAGCTGTACCATCAGCATCACAGATTGTGACCATAATAAACTTTAAATTGTGTTTTAAGAGAGTTTTWAAGTCACTTGTGTTTTGGTCATCTTTTAAAACACAACCTAAGCATCTGAGAGAGCTTCTTGCTACAGAAAATACTTGTCAGACTTGGCTTTGGTAGATTTTGAACAGGCAGGCAGAAATTTGGTCATCTGAAGTAAAAGATAAACATCTACTTGAGGCAGAAAATGCTGTTTCCTGTCACATGCCCTCCTTTTATTGTTTGGTAGAAGAACAACAGTATAAAATGTGTAAGAAATATTACTTCTTTTGGAATAGATCCTTAGTATGGGCAGTGGGGAATGCAGATGTTTTAGAAGTGGGATGGGCAGAAAGAATCTACTCTGCAAAAAAGTTGGTCTCTTTAAGGGCAACTTAGAGCAACATTTTTGAAAGAACTTCATATTTTTATGAGAGTTAAGTTCAAGGTCAACTTGAAGAAGTTAGTGATTGACTGGGGGAGGATGAGTAAGGTTCTCTTTATTCCAAGCAATACATTGCAAACAAAAGACAGAAGGTAAATTATTAATCTGTGAGCCCAGGTGAGCCTTTTTTCTTTTGCAGCTGCCTTTTTTTTTTTCTTTTTCTGGTGGCCAGACTTTCCATTTCAAGAGTCTTCATAAGCATAAAAGAAGTATATCTACCTTACCTACCTTTGAAGTTATGATTTCTAAATTTAGTGTAAAAGGGTCTCACCATCTGCCAGACTTCTGAGATAGCAACAGAAACTTCTGCACCTGGCTTGGCTGAGAGGGAAAAAGGCACCGCACATTTGGGGTTTAGTTTGCTTTGGGGTGTTTTTCTTTGTATGGGAGGAAAATTTTCAGAGTAATCGTGGGTTTTTTGTAAAGTTTTTGTTTAAAGTTTAGGGCTCAATGTATTTCTGTTAGATACTGTATGAACTAGGTTGGGGTGTTTTTAATCACTCATGCTGAAACTGTACAGTCCCCTTAGTTCCAGTGTCATTTTTAGTTTCAAATATTGATTTTATTTTTTTTTAATCCCAAGGAATTCCAGTGTATTGAAGATTATATAATGCATGTGTTATGGAGATTTCTTATCAGTCACCTTTCACTTGAAACAGTCARAAACACAAGAATGCAAAATATTTCCTCTTCTGCTGTGGGATAGAGCTTTGATGTGTGAACTCCTCTGGCTACCAAGATTTGTTAAAGTAGAAACACTGTCTTGAATATGTGYCTTCTTCTGATTTTGAGAGGGTATCCTGGCACAGAGGAAGCCTGTCTTCTGAGTCATTGATCTAARCACATTTTTTACTTCTGACCTGGTTTTGAGCATGCTAGAGGACTTTGGCCCTTTTTTGTAAAACTGTGTGTGCCTGTGCCACAGGAAGTCCTTTTCTGGCTAACTGACATTACTGCTTGAGCACTTAGGCTCACTGTTTACATTGTGGRCATATACAGTGGATGGAGTTCAAAACTTCTCAGTTTCTAATTCRGCAAATGACTTTGTGTGAGGAATGRTTGTCTATCAGTGGATTGACTTGAATTAAATAACTCAGGCTTAATAGTTCTACTGAAGGCAAGCCCTGTGATGGTATCTCCTGAGCTCACAGAAACAAAGGAATTTAGCAAGACCCCTATTTTCTTGTGTCTGCTTTGGATTGCTTTCCTCTTTCAGCCCATTAAAGAAAACAACTTACCTAGACCTAATAATTGCTTTTTACAAGTTAGAACAAGAAACTGGAAAAACACAGGCTTCTCTTTTCTTGATCTTGTCTCTGATCTTCTCAGAGCTTATTTTTAGTTTATTTGTTCAGGATTGTGTAAACCTTGAGATGAGGCATCATTAGTCAGATTATTCATTGTGAATTTTAGCAAAATGTCATAACATACAAGTTCCTGTRCAGGCAAATTAGACAGTAGATCATTATTTTGAAATGGGTGTGGTTTGTGGATGTGATTTCCTCTCCTATGAAATATTCAGGGTAGTAATCAAAACAAAATGGGTTTTTGAAAGAACAAATTACCTTTTAAAGGTCTTGCTAAGCCTTTTTTGAACAAGAYATTTCAGAAATACCTTCATAATTGAATATTGATATATTGAGTCCATATCTCCAGTGCAGCATATGCAGGATCACATAAACTTGATGCTTTACTGAGTTTAATTGGTAATGTATAARTTTGAAAACATTCTTTAAAAATGTTTTCCAGTCTCTTCTGGCTTCTTTTGTAACATTTTCCATCACGTTTAGCATTATAGAATGGTTTGGGATGGAAGGGATCTTRAAGATCATCTAGTTCCACCCCCTTGCAGGAGCAGCTTCCACTAGACCAGGTTGCTCAGTGCCTCACCACTTTCACAGTAAAGAATTTCTTCCCAATATCCAATCTAAACCTGCCCTCTTTCAATTTGAAGCCATTTCCACTTGTTCTRTCCCTATATGTTCTTCTGAAAAGTCCCTCTCCAGCTTTTTTGTAGCCCCCTTTAGGCACCAGAAAGCTTTTAGAAGTTTTCCYRAYGCCTTTTCTTTTCCAGGCTGAACAATCCCAGCTCTTTCAGCCTGTCTTTATAGAAGAGGTGCTCCAGCCCTCTGATCATCTTTTTTGCCTCCTCTCTGGACTCCCTCCAACAAGCCCACATAGTTCTTGATGTCCTGGGCTCCAGAGCTGGACACAGAATTCCTGCTGGGTCTTCCAAGGGTGAGGCAGAACTGCTGCCCATGCTGTTTGTGATGCAGCCCAGGATAAGGTTGGTTTCTGGGCTGCAAGGGCACGTTGCTGGGTCCTGTTGAGCTTCTCATCAACCAACTACCCCAAGTCCTTCTCCCCAGGGCTGTTTCAATCCATTCTCTGTGCTGCCTGTGTTTGCTCTTGGGGCTGTCCTGACCCAGTGCAGGATCTCACACTTGGCCTTGCTGACGTTTGCCCACCTCTCAAGCCTGTCAAGATCTGGCATTTCCACTGGATGGCATTTCCCTCCAGGGTGTTGACTGCTCCACAGCTTGGCAAACTTGCTGAGGGTGCCCTCAAATCCCACTGTCCCTGTTAGTGACAGAGATGTTAAACAGTGCCAGTCCCAGCACTGACCCCTGAGGAACACCACTCATCACTGCTCTCCACTCAGACATCAGACTGTTYACTGCAGCTCTGGGTGKGACCATCCAGCTAATTCCTTATCCACTGAGTGCTGCATCCATCAAATCAAGGTCTCTTCAATTTAGAGACAAGGATGTCCTGCAGGACAGGCTCAAGTGCTTTGCACAAGTTCAGGTAGATGACATTAGTCACTCTTCCCTCATCCACTGCTTCTGTAACCCTGTTGGAAAAGGCCACAAAATTTTTCAGGCACACTTAGTGAAAAAAAAACACTAAGTGAAAAAAACCACACTTCACAAAATTAGTGAAGCCATGTTAGCTATCACCAATCATATCCTTATTTAARTCATGTTGGTAAAAATAACTTCCTAGAATAAAGAGGAAATGCCGTTTAATTTCCATGTGTAGAATTTAAGAACAATTGAGGGTGGGTGTGACCTCTTATCATTTCACCCAGCCCCCTGTTCAAATCAGAGACAATTTCAAAATTAGATTTGGTGGTTCAGGCCTTGTGCAGTCATGTACTGAATATTTCCAGGGAGGGAGATTTATAAAATTCTCTGGGAAATGTGCTCCAGTGATTGGTGGTGTGATACATTTATAATTTTTTTGTCCTTTGATCTAAGAGAAATTKGTCATGCTCCTCTGTCCTTTTCTCCATCCTTTGAATGTGAACCTCTGAGAAGAACTTGGCTCTTCCTGATATTTAAATGCCCTTAAGGAACAGTGGATAGGATTTAGGTTCCCCCTTTGTCTGGTCTTCACAAATTTGAACAGATCCTTATCTCAGCCTGCCCTTATGTGTCATATGCTTCAATCCCCAAGCTGTGTGTGGCCTTTTAAGTATTTTTTTATTGATATCTATTTAAAGCAACAGTCAAGTGCCTGTTTGTTATAGCATCTTGGCAAATAGATAGACCAGACTCTGTAACAAGCTTKTCTTCATTCTTTGATTTCTGTCATTTATGTTGGGGAAAGTGTGAGAACACTCTYTAAAAGGATATGTGCTAAAAGAGACCTATTGTGTAAATCCACACAGAATTCAGAGAATGCAAAATAGCAACTACTCTGTGGGTATTCATCCTCTGTTATTAATACAGGCAAAATGAGTCAATTAAAACACTTCTGTTCAACTACTTGTTCTTTCAAATCCTTTAATTGCTTGGCTACTAAAAGAAGACTAAAGTCTAGAAAGTGTTTGGTAGATCATATTTGAGTGTATYATACAGAATTAGTCTCATGAACCACTTGATTTTGTGAGACATTTTTGTTTCAGCTTATGAAGAGGGTTTCTGTTCTGGCAAAAACATTAATCGTGGATTGCCTCAATTGAAATTTTGTGCACATTTTTTTCTTCCTCAAGGGTGATGCAGTGGGTGACAAGCCCCTGGAAGTCCATGCTGCTTCAAGTAAAGAACAAGCCAAGAAGTAGAATGTTTSATCACCTGGCATCAAACAGGTAAAGGATAAAGACTGGTAATATTTTGTGGCTAAGCAGCAGAGTAACTTGGAAAAGCTGAACATTTGCAAGTTCAACTTGTACTTACCTTCTTCATAATGATGAGGAAAGTGGGGACAGATGATTTTATTTGTCCTAAAATTTGTCAAGAATGCGTGCACTCCTTAACATATATTTTAAGTTAAGGAACCTAAATTCTTAATCTGTAGAGCATAACAAATAAATATATGTCTGCTTGAAGGGTTCTGAATTAAGTGAGCAAAGCCATGTGATTGTAGTGTTGTTTGGTTTTGGCCTTTTGTTTTCTTTTTCTTCCTATTTCTGCCTCCCACACCAAAAGYCTCTTTGCTTTCTTTGTCACACTTGTGCAAGTACTGGGGTGGGGAAAGGAGCCTCTTCCCTGCTGATAAGTTTTTTCTAAAAGTTTGTCAGTGCCAGAGTGCAGCATTGCCTTGCAGCCTATAACATTCCCCAATGTGCCTGACCTTTCATATTAATAGAGCTCCCAAATGAGTCCTGTTGGGAACAAAAGATGGAGGAAATGGAGGCAGAATTTTTGAGTTCTCCAAGGCAGAAACTCGAGCTGAGATACCAGTTCTGTTTCTGACTTGGCCTCAGGGCTGTGTTCAAAACTCCAGCAAGTCCTATGGTTACAGTTTCTAGAAAAGCAAAACAGAAACATCCTCTTGACTTTATGATGGTTTGGTTTAATAGGATAAAAATTGCTCTGTATTTGAGGCTTATTGCAAATAATTATAACATAATTAGACATAATTTAGCACAAAATGTCTGATGTCTGCTCTGTTATCAGTTGATAAAGAATGTCTTTTCTGAACATGTTTTATGCTTAATTCTCTTTGCCCTGTATTATTTTTGCATCATGTTGAAAACTTACTTTTCATCAGAAAGTAATCCTGGCATTGTAGGGATTCCTCATAATTTTTGTATGCAGTATTCAGTTTACCAGAAAAGTTCTCTATTTTTTTTCCTTGCTGCCAACTGTGTAAATAGAGTTCAGACTTGGTGAACTGAACCAATTTCTTTTTCCCATGCATCACCATCAGTCACATGTGTTTGCAGACATGTGGGGTGGAATGCACCCATCTGCTGGGCAGCAGCCTTCCACTGTTACATGGCAGCTTTTAAAGCAAAACTAGTTTTTAATKCTGGCTCCCTTAATGTGTTTTTAATTCCTATAGCTAATTCTCACAACAGCAATGTGAGGTTGTTGATTGACTGATGTACTGAGTACCTTAGTTTTACCTTTAGATCTATGAATATAGTCTTTAACAATGCAYGTTTTCCAAGTAGTTTGTAAAATAAAACCTAAAAAATAATAGGAGGATTTAAWTTTTTTTTTAATGTAAAGAATCCCAAGAGAACCAAGAGGAAGAAAAGCCTCTCCAGAATTCACTGAAATACTGTTGTGCTTATTGTCAACTAGGATCGAGCTACTAAATGATAAAAAGACAAGAAAATTGAACTTTTGTTAGTGACACTRCATAAATATCAAGATCCATTACAAACAGCAATCCATAAATAGGTTTTATTTTATTTTAGAATTTTTTTCCTATGAATATTCATTCTGTTAGGCCTTTATTCAGTTTTTGAAATGTCAGCCTTTTGCTTCAGGCACATTTCCTTTGTTTGGGGAARGTTTTAAGAAACTGAAGATAAATTGCCCCGGTGCTTGAAGTACCTGGGTGCTCCTGGTTTTGAAACCTATGTGCTTCACCTCATGTTGTTTGTGGATGAGACACATGAAGGAAACTGCTGAATTTTTGACTTAGAGCAAGCAGATGGTGAAAGTTCAATTCAGTATCAAGTTCAGCTGTTCTGCGGGGGTGGCAGTTTGTTACTTTTGCTTGAAATTGAATCCAGTCATTGAACTCCATACCCAAGTCCAGATGTTTTGTTGGATTTGGGTGATGCCAAAGGTTGGAGAGCACTGCTGTGATCTTTGAAAAGACACATTTTTTTTGTTCTGGATGAGATCAGTTGTGAAAGTCTCATTGCATTTTCAACTGCTGGTAATATTCCTAGTTGTGTGTGGTTACTAAAATAAAGACAATCCCATTTCCTCAATTATTTGTCACAGTGTGGGACTCTGAGCTGTGAATGGTCAACCAAGGCCAAAATCATATTGGTTTGGAGACAACAACATATTTCTCTATTCCAAAACCCATTGCACCTCCTTTATTATAGTTTGTCATCAAAAATTATATGCAAACTTCAGCTCAAACCACATCCCACTGTGGAAGAAGCAAGCTTTAATTTTATCCAGCTGTTGTGTTTAAGGGTTTTGTGTTTTTCCATGAAGATAGCATATCTCATTTTCACTCTCTTCCAGACCTATATTTATGTAATTCTGTTTCTTTGAGTTAAATTGCCCTAGTCTTACACCAGAGTAAGTAAGATTAGGAAAACATGCTTTTGATGAAAATTTTAAAAAGTTCTTTTTGARAAAGTTGGTTTATTATACAAGATTACAGTTGGTGTTTGGTTGCTGTGTAGTGTTCTTTTTCTTTTGTATTTCCATTTAGTTCAACTGTGGGAATCAACTTCTCTTGARCAGACATGGTCATTAGTGCTCTAATGTCAGTAATATGAAGAGTTAAATATCTCTACTGCAAGCAAATTGGTATTGAGAATGTTGCTCAAACAGATTTTGATCAGCTTGCCACATCAAAGAAAAAGGTTTTAATTGCACTTTAAAAATGGAAATAAAAGGCCTGTMATAAATTTAATTCTGCTTTATCTCTCCTTCCCTCTCCCCCTTAACCTCTGTCCCCTTTCTTTGGCTGTAGGTGACTAAAAATATAGATATGAGCWACAATTTCCCAAGAACAAGATGAAAACCATCTGAATTCATTTTGAATGTAACTAATCTGCCTTCTGCCTCGGGACAGTCTGATGATCTGCTGCTCAGGCTTCTGGTATGGTTTCTGTGAAAGGACACTACATGTTTTGGGTCAGGCTTGAGRCTTCATCCTCTGTTCTGCAGAGGGATTCAAGTCTGCCCATGCTTGTCCCATTGCAAGATCAACATTACAAGTAGCAAGTCTCAAAATCCCTCAGTCTCTTTATTATTTATATATAAAATAAAATTCCAGTTACACAAAATGGTCTTTTTTTTTTCCACTCCTCTTGTCTTTAAACTTACGGATGTGATGTTTGCACAATCTGAAAGGTTCTGGAGGTGGTGTTGACAGTGTTTTTTTTACAAGTGAGGAAAAGCTGAAMGTAGTAGGGTGTTTTGGCTAACATGAGCTCATAGAATTAGGAATGGGGACAATTACAATGACTCTTGTGTTTTGTCTGAGTCCCCCCCTCCTTTCTATACAAGTGCTGTGCCTCATCAGTGCCTGGGGAGGTGTGTAATGAAGCATCTGTGAGTTCCTGTCTGCTGGATGGATGGGAATGGAGCTGTTAATGCTTGTTCTTGTCTTTGCTTGAATGGGCAGCACAATGGGAACCAGAACATGACYGTGGTGGGAACCAGCTATAGAATAACTTGGCTGTTTCCTTATTCCCAGCCAGGGCAGGGGAGGAAAAAGTGATGCGGAGGGAAATACAAAAGGATTTCCAGCATTTTGAAATGTTCACACAATAAAACCCTTTCATCATTTCTTGTCATTTCCATGAGATTTTCTTCTTGGGTCTGATTACTGTGAAAAAAAGTAACTTAGAGCATTTAAAGCTGTGTTGGTGAGCCTTAAATGCTCTTTTATTAATCAGTGAATATGAGGAATGTGGGAAGGATGAAATGAAATATGTGTTTGTATGATACATTAATTTTCTAAAACGATCAGSGAAGAAAATATGAAATAAATCAGATTCAAGATGCTTTTAAACATCTTTGTTATTCAAGGTTAAGTATTCCAGCTGAGCATGTTCCACAGACTTTTAGAGAAAAACAAACAGACCTTGGCAATGTGAATGCCAGTCTGTGTGGGCATTATAAAACAGGCCAACCCTTTTTTAGTACAGGCAGTAAGGCATGTGGTTGCCTCAGGCAGAAAAACAGTATCTCCCAACATGTTCAGTGCATGTTTTTATGATTGTTTTAGGCTGGTAAAGATCTGTGTTGATACAGGGAGCAGAGTTCTTGCGTGGGGTTTGGGAGGTGTGTGTGTGTGTGTGGTTTTGTTTTTACTTTAGACTTGCCAACAGGCAGGCTTGGGAGGATCMAAGTAGTGTTTTTGTCAGTAGTAGGAAGGAAACTTGGGAATTAGAGCTGTGACTTCTGTTACACCACTCCTGTGGTACAAGCATAGATTTGTTTCTGCCCYTAAAGTAGTTCTTTACTTATTCTCATATCATATACAGAATAATTACCATGGAATTAGGAATATAGCTTTAGATGCCTGTATTTTTTTTCAGTTTCATATTATTTCAGTATTTGGCATATGCCACATTGGCATTTAAGAACGTGATTACTTGGTAATTCAGTTATTTGTTTACATATACACGTGTGCATGTTTAAAAAATCCTGGAATAAATATCACTTAAATGCTTTTCACTTGATCACATCTTTATACTGCATGTTTACACTGTTGCTTAAAAATGTCCCAAGTGATTGACATCAAACGAGAATGCTTTTATCTAGCAGGAAATGACTGCCTTCAAGCACCTGCATACACACATGACAAGGAGATGGTTCCAAAATGTGAGCAACACAGCCTTAGCTGGAATCCTTTCCTTATGTCTTCTGGTTTTTATAACTACAGGAAATAATAATAAAAAAAATTTCACGCTGGTAAGAGCCCAAGAGTGTGTAAACATTCAATTCTTTTGGCACAGACCTTCCTAATGAGGAACAGGAGAGCAGCTGACCACTGTTGATGTGTGTGTGTGTCTATATATGTGTACACACAAGTGGAATGRAATTGTGCATGCATGTGTTATCTGCTGCCAGGCTTTGCCTGTCAGTATTACAGTGTAGGCTAAAAATGGTATATTGCCCACCAAACCTTCCTGTCAGCAGTTGGGCTGTCCTTCCATTTGAAGGCTTTTTGCTTGGTAACTGGGCTCTGTGCAGCTGGGACAGTGTTCTCATCTCAGCATCCTGGSTTCAGGCTGCAGTGCTCCCTCTTAAAATCCCCATCTTTAATCTGCAGCATGTGAAAGTTGTAGAACTGGAGGTGTTGGGGTCAGGATTCTTGTAGGCAGCATGTCATGTGTCAAAAGTGACAGCGAAGGCTCTCTGTTTGCTAGAAGGAGCATCACCAGCCTGGAATAATCCAGTTATCCTGGGTAAATGTGAGCAATCTTGCAGCTTTCAATAAACACACAGTGGATTTTGCCACGAGTGTTCATTGCAAAACTCTGGTTTAGACTCTGTGCTCTTAGACAGCGGGAGGCCCAGACACAGACTTAGCAGTGGTCATCACTAAAATGTTTTGGAGCATTTGTCATTGCATCTGTCACCTTCAAGGACAGCAGTAAAGAGCAGGATTGATGTGGAGAGAATKGCATTTTACCTCTTGAGAAAACAGTGCCCTGGAAGTTGAGGGGACTTGTTAACAGCTCTGTTTATTGGCAGAAAAACCTCAGTGTGAGCACATTTGCTTCAGGACAAATGTAAACTGCTGCACATTTCTTTTTCCCCTTTGGGCTTTTTTTTTTTTGTTTTTTGTTTGCTTTTTTGTTGTTTTGTTGTTACTATTATTTCTGTGTCTTCCTATAAATTCTGAGCTACTTTTAAAGTCAGTTTCATCATAATAAACTGCTGTTGACAAAGAGCAGTTTTGCTGTTCAGCCATGCTGAGAAGGTCTGCATGACTTCCCCCTGGACCTTCCTGGATGCAGCCTCAAAGCARTGTTGCTGTTGCACCTGGGTGGCCTGGCAGCTGCTTAGGTTAACCCCCTTCCAGAGGGGTTTTGACAGGTACAAAAGCTTCTTGTTTACAAGGAAAACATTTGATAATCATATCTAAACTACAAAGCAGAAGCTGCTTTAGCAGAAAAAAAAAAAATGTTTCTAATTGTGTAACACCCCCTGTCCTCTTAAGTCTGTACCATTAGCTGATTCTGGGGTTTTTTTGACTGTATATGGTTCTTAGATTGACTGGAGCTGGCAGGTTTCTTATGGTTCCTCTGGAAAAAAATGTTGGTATATTGATGCAGTTGGAGTATTTTATTCTATTTCATGTCAGTGAAATCCATCACTGGCTGTCTCTGCTTAAGGACAAAAGTCTGAACTGGACTTCATCTTGTCTTGAAGTTCATGGATTCCTCCAGAGTGCTGCTCACAGCCACATTTTCAAGCTGGTGTTACTGATAGCCATGGCACAGATGTTGAAAGATGGCGAAATCAAAGGTGGGCTGAGGATGTCTCACAGTCTGCTCCCTTTAAAAATACCTTTGTGCATTGGGAATGAACCCACAATGCCTGCACTACACTACACTGTGAGGCTCTCTTGACTCCACCTTACCCTTATTTGTTTTTGTTTGTGTGTATTTAAAGGTCTAAATCTACCAACATTTAAAGCCAGTCAGTCACATGAGCCATGATCCTGTTATGGGTAAGCTTTGCTGGATCTTCTGGAGGGAGGAAGATCCCCAAGCTTTGCTGGATCTTCTGGAGGGAGGAAGATCCCCAAGCTTTGCTGGATCTTCTGGAGGGAGGAAGATCCCCARGCTTTGCTGGATCTTCTGGAGGGAGGAAGATCCCCAAGCTTTGCTGGATCTTCTGGAGGGAGGAAGATCCCCAAGCTTTGCTGGATCTTCTGGAGGGATGAAGATCCCCAAGCTTTGCTGGATCTTCTGGAGGGAGGAAGATCCCCGCTGAGTTGCTTTTGTGTGCCTGGGAATAGCCGTGGCACAGCCTGAGCTGTGCTCTGATCCCTGAGTCTTGGTGCCCACTGTGAGAGGAGCAATGGGGGCAATGGGACAGCTTGGTCAGAGAACTTCTCTTTTTGTTTGTAGTGTGCTTATAAACCTTTACAAGATTCAATTAGATTTGATAGACACTAAAGCTGAAGGATGTATTTAATGTGTAGTGTGTGTCCAGGTCGTGCTCACCAATGCTAACYTGAAGTTTGTAAGAGCCTATGAAGTAACAAGATGGGTCATTAGCTGCCCGATTTTTGGCTGAGGGGACAGATGCTGTGGCAGGARTGCTGTTGGTGCAGTCCTTTACCATSGTAGCCGAGGAARGCAGCCCGTGGCCCTGAGGCTGCARACAAGRGCTGGGGGCTGCGGGAGGGCACCTSATGGTGCAATGCKCGTTTGATGTCAGCCCCTTCATGCCTGGATGAAAGAATAACTCATAGGGAGAACTTAATTTCTTCCTACTTTGGCCGTTACAGTGTGAACCCACAGGACCTACCACATCCCATACCAAAATCTTTCAAAATCCGCTGTTTTGCGTCCCACTCCGTCTTCTCTTCTCTTGTCTTAACCTGGAGTACCTTCGCTCGACTCCAGGGCGCAGCAGCCGTGCTTTTGAAGAAGTTTAATGGGTTTCTKTGAAAGTGAGCCACATGCAGCGCTTGGCTGGGAGTGCTGAGCGCCTGGAGGCTGCTGTGCCCCCGCTCGGAAGGATGCCCCGAGCAGGGGTGTGCCCTGATGCTCCCTCCCTGCCGACATCTTCACCCCAGGGATGGAGGAAAGCTCTCCCTGCCCCAGCGAAGGGGGGAATGTTGAAGCACGAAGCTGGAGGTGTTTTCGTGGCTGTATGCACGTACCAGCTAGGGACCATAGGCAGGCAGCTGGAGGCGGCGCTCACCAACATCGTTTTAGCCCCTTTAATTTCTTTTTGTTRTTGTTAGAAAAGGTGTACAGAAATAAGGGGAGTTTGTGTATCAATCCGCAGTGAAAAGAAAGGGGATTCTTCCCTTCCCCCCACCCCCTGTCCCAGATTAAGTTCACCAACGTCCTCTTTGCAAATTTAGCAAGCTTCAGACTCACTTCCTTTTGTCAGGAGACCTGAAAGAGCCATTTCCTGATTCGTACAGGGCTCTTGTATGCGCACACTAAGTGCTCATTCATGCCGTGAATCATAAAGGTAACCTCAGTTCAAAGCATTGCGCTGATACTTCGGCATGGGACCAAAAAAAAAAAAAATTGTAATTCAGCACAGTGTGCTGAAGTCATCTTTGTAGTTACTGAGGAGCCGCGCCAGGGGGGTTTTGATCTTCATTTACAAACTGCCCAAACTGAAACGGGCTGGTGAAAGCACCAAAGGCAGCCCAAAGGATTATGTTTTCTGTCGTGTGCCAGGCTTGACACATTTTTCATATCCTGCCAGAGATGAGGAATGGCGTCAGGGGCTGCCAGTGAGTCAGGCTCGGCCCCGGGGAGCGAAGGCAGCAGCCCCGCTCGGGAATCAGCGCACTGAACTCGGGATGGTGCTGGAGAAAACTCAGCCCTGCCAGGAGYAAAGGACTCGCTCTCCTGCCTGTGGTTCAGTGGGAGGTCAGTGAGGCACGGTCTGTTGTGTTTATCTCTCCTGKACTCGCCTCCGGGTTCATCTGACAATGAAAGGGATGAGCTGTTACTGGCTGAAGGAAGAAATAAATGTGCACTACTTGCCTCTCCCCATCCCTGCCAAGAGGGAGAGCGAGCCAATTCATACATAATATTGGAGTCCTCTGCCATTTA